CTTGGGACCTTTTGTATTTTCTTACCCCAAAGTTCTCAGTGGATTGAGGATTAATTTAGTTCACTAACCCATTTCTTCTAAGATTTGTGATGTCAGATGACAGAGACAGAATGTTGCTGAAAGGAACATGCTCTTAAATAAAGTCAGCGCCACAGGTCAAGCAACTAAAGTCAACTTTTGAAACAAGAGATATTTTGGGCAGTGGAGAAAACAGTTTTACTAACCGGGAGCTACAGTTGTGATTCCACAGATGCAACATGACGTTCAATAAGAGTAATTACTTCATATCCATTCATTTATCTTTCACATGATCATTTAGTTTTCATGTATTGACTTCATTATCCCCTTGCAGTAATGACTGCAAACGCACAGTAACTGCACATGCATTTAGAAATATAGCACAGACAAAACCAGGAGCCTGTTCAGTCTCACTGATACTCCAGTAGTAAGGTAAAGACAATCAAAATGAGACTGACACACAGGATTAGGCAGCATTACGGTCATCTCCACACAGCTGATTCATATTCTGCACACAGTGGGATCAGCTTCAGTGTACATAAACCTAGACAGGCCTTGGGTAATGACTTACAGCTTAGTGTTTAATCAGCAGACACACGTCTCACCATTAGAACCAACTAGACTTCTGTCTGATGCAATTTATTCCTTTTCTGTAAGTCCTAATAAGCACCCACTTACAGTATAGTACAACCTTAACAGTGATTCATTTTAGTTTCCTGTTAGTTGGTAATACCATGCTAGAGTTTGAAGCACTCTCTGCCACCTTGGCTGCTTCCTCAAACAGCACTTATGCCACATTAGCTGAATTATGAGCCCCTTGCCATAGGGGCCAACTTTCTATTAGGGGGTGTGCTCATTAAAAAAAAAAAGCCAATAAACATGCATTGTCATGACATAATATCCGTTTCAGGAGAGTTATCAGTACTACCACCTGAGCGGGCATAAATGAGGTACAATCAAAACAGAAAATCATCTGACGAGCTGTAGAATGAATTCTGAAGAGAGGGATGTTAATAAACACAAATATCTTCACCACACCAGTGTTCTGAGTCTCAAGTGTACTCAGCCAAATACAAAACAAGAAGAAGGAAAAAGGTCTGCATGCATCCTTTGAAATGTCCATTTGAAGAGGCTGGGATGAAAGTAGGACTCAGTATGAAACTTTGAAAACAGGGTCTTGTAGCATATTTGAAAACAAACATTGGACATAAGGCAAGATGTGCACATGAATACAGACAGATGAAAGATATGCCAAAAGCACATTTGGTGTAATATTTAGCATATTATTATATATTAAACATATTGTGTGATTGAGATGAACAATGTGCAGGTAACAGGTAATATCTGTATGACTGTGAGTATCACTTTGGCTCTGAATCTAGATTCAATTGTCAAAGCATAATTGTCTCTTCAAAATCAAGTGGGAAATGTTCTCTTCTTTTTTCCCCAAACAGCCTCACTGAGTGTTACTACTCTGCTGCCTTTTAATATCCAAGCAGCTATGTGGCACTGAAAAGATAATAGTGATGTGTGTTAGCTCAACAACACTCCAAATGCTCAGAAATCCTGTCATTTGCTCAATGTTTTCAAGATTGCGGAACATTTTTCTGAATGTCATTAAGCACAGTAACAATCCTACACCATTGTGACAAGGAGAGAGATCTAGAAAAAAAAATCACTGTACATTTCATTAAGACAGTGCATCTCTACTAAGACTGAAGAAATGATAACTCCCTGAAGAGGACCCCAGGAGAACATGGCTGACACAGTGGAAGCCAATTCACACTGTGTTTGATCATATTTTCAGCACCAATACAGTATGATGCAAACAAGAAAGAGAAGAATTCAGGTCACACTCAAAGCCCCCTACTTTGCACACACACTTCTCCCACTCTTTCAGTTCTCTTATAAAATTCCCTGTCTGTGTTGTATTGCATTATTTTGAGTGTTTTCTTCTGCACAGTGCCTGCATCTGTTTTGCTCTGCTCTCCTGTTTCCTTTGCTGATTTTCTCCATCTGCTTTCCTAATGGTTCCAGCTTTCTTTCCTCATTTGTTCTCCTATCCCCTCACCTCTCCTATCATCCATAAAGAGTCGCTGGACATTAATGTGAACCTGCCTGAATAAATTACACTTCTCCATTCTTCCTGTCAACAATTAAACTAGCCTTTTGCCATTGGTACCACATACAGTAGGAGAATAGAACTGAATGGATACAAACAAGGCAGGAAGTTACTTTAAATAATTTTCTTAAGACTCAGTGGAGCATGTTGTCTCTATGCTATCAGTTCTTTCTGATGAATAAGTGATGAAAGTCTTGCCATTGTTGTTAGCAGAGGCACAACATTGGTATGCAGACAGAGACAAGAGACTTTTTTCAGCCCATGTGCTGCTTAGTTTGTCTATACTTAATGAATCACGCTGCAATCATTTAATTTTGATTGTGTGAGTAGTTGCATGAATTGTGTTCCATGGACCTCAGAGTCACTCAGAGAAAATGGACTGGGTAATAAGAAATGAACTGTGCACAGAGTAATGGCGGCACCAAAGTGCATTTGTCCTCTGTGTCCATTAATGTCAAATCTCACAGAGAAACAAGCTAGGAATGAGTGTGTCAAGACAGAAAGCATGTGTGTGTTTGTTTGTGCATGCAGGTGTTAGCAATGCAGCGCAGACAGCACTCGATGGCCAAGCAATGGTGCTCTCTTCGCAAAGTACCTCCATTAAATCACAGCACGGACCTAAATGGAAGAGGTCAACAGTGACATGACTGGTTGGATTCATGGGCCCAAGGCTGTCACTAAACAGGACTGGGTGAGCTGTGAAATGTTACTGGCTTATGACAAGTCAAAGTTTACATTTAAATTTTATCTGCTTTGACATGGGAGCATAAATTCTTTTTGTGGATTTGCACCAGTGTAAATTAAACTGTGGACTATTGCGACAGTAATTCACTCTAAAAGCAATATTCAACACAATGAGATGCATGAGGACCAAATCTCACTGGATTACAAGGTACAGTTCAGACAATGATCTCGAAGAGGCACAAAACATATGTGACAGTGAAAGCATTACATGAAGCTGTTAGCATCAGTTAGTAGGAAACACTGTGCCAGAGCTTCCCACTGTAGTTTGCAAACAGTGAAGCAGTCAGACCAATGTTTGCTGTGTGAGTTACATAACTACTCCTTTAAACAGTTTCAGAGTGGATGGTAGCTGAGAGCTACTCTGGCTCATCCACTGTTCTTGAGTCATGGTTTGAGTCAGACTGCCTCGAGTGTTTCCATCGGCAAAGCACAAGAGGTCACTATGACCCTAACTGGTGTTTTTATTTTTGCTGCACTGCATTGCATCAGTTCCTTCACTGACATCACTCCCCCCACAAAAAGAAATCAGTCATTATAGAGTCTGTTGCAAAGATAAATCTGGATGTGAAAGAATCTCGTCTATTTCTTAAGTATAATTTCTTTCCGGTTTTTGGCTTCCAAGTCATACAGTACTTCTTCAGTATAAATAAATAAAAAAACATTGCTATGCTGACCTTTAATGAACTTGTAAAGAACCGAAATTCACTTTTAATGTTGACACTAATCCATATTTGAGAAGTAACCAGTGAAGGGAAACAAAAGAGCCTTGATTTTATTATTTTCACTACAACTGTATTCCAAGAGGAGAGAGTGGTGTTAAAAGAGAAAGCAAGAGAGAAAGAGATGAGATGAAGGCCAAATTTCTACAACTGTACTTCCTTCACAGTTTTAAATGAAATGTAGGAAGTGTTGCATCAGAGCAGTTTCCAACAGTAAAGGCCGTAAGCTGTATACAATCAGTAATAGAGTTGGTTGTTAATGTGTCTCAGAGAGAGATTAATAAAAGGAATTCATGTAGGTTAAGTGGGCATTCAGACTGAGTGCAGCAAAACGCAACTCACTGCTGTGTTGTATGCAAGGGGATGCATTGGTCGGGGTTGTAGGGGGGTGCTGTAGACGTGTACAGTACAGGCACATTGTGAGGAATCAACATGACGAGTGGCTTCATTCACATTTTCAGCATGCATGTGGGAACGTTTTTTCAGTAGGGGGTGCTGTCTGGGATATATGCACGTGCATGGCTGATCTTGTGCATGTGCATGCACTGCTATGGTATGAGAGGGTATTGTAGTGTGTGTATAAGAGTATAGTTGTGTCCATGTGAGAAAGTATGAATTACGGCCTAAACGGCCTCTCATACTATGGTGCTGTTGCTAGTGTTTGCTGTTGTAATGACTGTGGCATTAGCATTAGCAATGTTGTTTTTGTGTGTTATCAGTAATGTTAAAAGAAACAGTTTAGCATCCAATAGCCTAACCAATAAAAATGAATGGTGTGTTGTTCTGATGTGTTAACTGTGGTCCAAATACAACGGTGAATAGCAGTGAATGCTCATGCTAACATTATAAACAAGAGTTTTCTTCCTGTGGGAGTCCATGTTCCAACTATTCCCCGTATGTGGTGGCTCAAAGCAGTGCTTTTGCCAGATGATGTCACCGTCCGGTGCGGCAAAAGGTGAACCAGATCCAACCTTTTTCATCACACAGGGCTGTGGTGTTTTGCTGGAGCCCACTGTGGTGAAGTGAACGCGATTCCTCATAGAAATGAATGTAGAGGGCTGTGTTTTCATACCTTTGAAACTCAGTCTGAAAACAACCTAAGCCCTTAACCCACCAATCTTTTTCTACTGTGCATGCATTCATATGTGAGAAACAAATAACTAAAACTTTGATTTATTTTAGATAGTTTTGAAGCTTTAGCAGTGTGACAGGGGAGTTAAGTTTAAACCAGCTAAGTTTGGTTTTAGCTGCATGCAAATATTTCCTTACCACCAAGCAAGGTAACTATAATGTTCAATTGAGAACACCATCATAATTTTATTATTCTCACACCCACAGTTAAGCATGACTAGCAGAGCCTTGTCTCCAAGAGACAACCACAAAGACATGCTGCATACCTCAACCTGCTGACAGATCTGGATGAGCTTTGCCATTTGGTTCTCTAGTTCACTGTTCCTCTTCACCAGGTTGGTCAGGTTATTCTCCAGGGTTTGCTGTTTGGAGGAAGAAGCAAACAGGAGGAGGGACAAAGGTCAGAGAAAGAAAACAAAGAACAAGGAGACAAGACATAACATTAGCAGAGTTCTCAGAGTGTGTGTTGACAGGACAGGTTAGATTATGGACACTTTAGACACTGGCCAGAACTTGGTTGATTTATTACCATACAACTCTTCTCATTTACACTAATCTGGCAACCTCACCATGAAAACCCCAAAAAATGTACATGTCTACTCTTCTCATTTACACTAATCTGGCAACTTCACCATGAAAACCCAAAAAAATGTACTTGTCTGTGTTTTAGTTTTTGACATTCACGGTGTCCTGTCATTAACCTGCAATTATTTAAAGTCTAAGTAATTCTCATGCCTCCTGTGTAAGGACCTGATTGTACAAATGAATTATTCCATACTGATGCTCTACTCGGTTCATTCTTGTTGTGATCATGACTTGCGGGTTGCTTTATGACATTGAAACCATGCAAAAGTCTCTTTTCAAATGTATAACTGTTGTTGTTTGGCAAGCAGGTTGAAATACACCAGGTAAAATAATGCAAGATGGGTGAAGGATCATAAGTGTCTCTCCCAGTGCTAAAATTGGCCTATATAAGTTTGCTGTCATGAAAGCAAGTTGAACTACAGTACAAATGGCATATTTTGTGTGTACGGTCACAAACTGTATGAATTCATCCACAAACAAATGAAAGATAAAGTTTTTCTGATTATTTGTTTAAACCAAACCACAAAATTTTTCAAAAAATCTGTCCTGTAAAGCTTCAAATTTCTGACAAAAATCTTGATGGCCTTGCATCATCATTTTAAAATAATTTCTGTAGCTGATTTAAGGCAAATGTTACAGTAAATATCAGGCTTACACTGACTCCTAAGTACACTGTAATCAGCATTTGAAATAAAACAAATGAAAGATTCAGTTAAGGAATCCAATTTATTGGTTTTTAACAGTTAAAAATTTCAAGTTCTGTGATAGCTAACAGTCTGTAATATGATGATTTAATTTAAACAAAAACCACAATCTGACCCCTGCAAAATGAAAACAACCAAACTCTAGTGACAGTTTTAATGACCAAATATCTCTTACAAACTTTTAACTGTGACTGTTTGCCAAACGCAAAAGAAAAGGCACACACACATAAATAAACTCACTCAAACACATATGCAGCACAAAAGATGAAAATGGAAACAGCAAACAGCGAGCCACAAATGGATCAGCTGTTCAAAGGAAGCCAGTCAGCCATGGTCGGCGACAACGATGGGCATCACGACAGCAACCACAGCTATAAAGTGAACAGCAGAACAAAGCAGCAGACAAGCAGTGGGTGTTTTAAGAAGCTCTATTCATGCAAGTGAAAGGGAGGTGGGCTGGTCAAGCACCTGGCCACCACTCTGACTGTACCTGTCTGTCAGGCGGCCTTTCTGCTTTACAGTATCTCCTCTGCCTGTTGCCTCTTTAACTTTCCACTCATTCAATTATTTATCTGCCAGCTTATCTCTCTCCCTGCGTCCCTTCCTTATGCATCCAGGTGTCTACCTGTGTGCTTGTCTGCCTCTCTGTGTGTCTATAGGGGTAGAGGAGGGGTGCGGGGTTGGTAAAAGGCAGCCAGGGAACTCACCGCAGCGCTTGTCTTTGAAGCCTCCATTACCGCATCTGACACTCTGCCCGGGCTCACCTGATAAGCCTACAAACACACACATACACCCGCATAAGTGCACACATAAACACGCACACACAGACAAGCCTGCACAGCGTCTGCCACTCAAATGCACAGCAACGGAAGAAGGCACCCCCTCTTGATAAAGTAGCCACAGACACTCTTCTTGTGGTTTTATACATGGTCATGAATGCAGATTGGACAGTGTGCCAGTGACATAACTGGAGAGAGCATTTGGCTGCTGTGTTACAGCCCTGTGTGTGTGTCTGTATAAGGGAGTTTGAAGTGGAACATCAGTGAAAGGGGACAGATGGGTCATTAATTAGTGAGCTGGAGACAAAGATGATTAAAACATCAGACCACAGCTGGCTCCTATGAGAATACAGTCAAACAAACTCCTCTGTCTTCTACATATACAGTATGTATGCATGTTTGTCACTGTGTTTGACTGATTGGTTAAATACAAGGGACATTTCACCTTGCATGTTGATGGAGAAGTACATATGTCTCTGTGTAGGTATATGACAGCTGCTATTTTTTAGATGAACAAAAGCATTAAACCTTTGTGCAAGTGTGTATCTCCTCTATAGGTGACCACCCAAAATCAATTGTGTGTAAACAGTGTTCTGCATGACTTGTGTTGGCATTCCAGTGGCTTCAGCCCAGCAGGCAGAACGAGTGGCAGAGAGAGAGGGGGAAGCAGAGCAACAGTCAACAACAAACTTCATTAAAACACACAAGAGACATCAAAGACAGCTAGAACCACTCAGAGATATAGCGAAGCACCGGAGAGAAACCGTGATAGATGGAGGAATGGAGGCAGAAAAGGGTGCAGTGGTCTGGAGAAGGTGCCAGAGTGTTGAACGGGTAGTGACATGCAGGAGGTGGCAGAATTAAATGTCAGTCCAAGCCAGAATAACATTTTTTTTTTTTTTATATGACACAATGGCTTATGCAGTCAAAATTGTTATCAGAACAGGTTGCCTCAACTTTCATTTTGTCACCGTCCGGGCTTTTTCTTTTAACCCTTGTGTTCTGTTAAGGATCTTAAAGTATGTGTTTAAGGATTTGAGGTGATAAATACAAAAATGACAACTATAGAGAAACTGACAGAATAGAGATGGAGGAACAAAAGAAAGGTGGAATCAGAGATGGAAGCAGAGGAAAACATTTGAACGCTGGTAACATCATTCATTCACTGATTTAGCAGGGGCAGAGATGGAGGGGATTGATGGGAAATTGGCACCGTGCTGAGAGAGGCAGCTTGGCAGAATAACGCCAGTCTGGCAATTCCTCTAATTCAGTTTTCTGTCTCTTCTGTTGGTCTTTCCCCCCTTGTTATCTGTCATTCTCTAGCATTTTCTCCCTTCTACAGTATATCTCCTCTCCCTGTAGCCTGTCTCTTCCCTCAGTCCTTATTCTGTCCATCACAGTTGCTGTACAAATGCAGCTGCTGACAGTCCATCATCTTAGGTTAGATCACCACCCCTCATATGACTTCATTGTGTTGAGGGGCTCCTGGGTCTCACTGCTTTACAGATGATCCCATTTCTCTTTGAAACAAAAAAGGACATTTGACTATTTATATTACAGTATCAAATCAAAATGTATTTATATAGCACTTTAAACACAATGTCTGGTTTACCAAAGTACTTTACAAGGGTAAGGTAAGAACTAAAATAAATAATATTAATAGAGGAATAAAACAACATAGAAACATAAACACACAAATTACACAGAATCAACAGTAAAAAGACGAAAGCATCAGACAATACCATGTATTAAAAGCCAAGTGGATAAATATGTTTTAACCAATGATTTAAAAGTTGTAAAGTCTGTAGATGATTTAGCATTAAGAGGTAAACCATTCCACAATTTGGGAGCTGCAACAGTAAAAGCACGGTCACCCCAGCTGTTTGTATCTGGCCCTGGGACAATCTAAAAGAAACTGGCTTGATGATCTGAGCAATCATGTAGGTTCGCACGACCTCACCAACTCAGCAAGGTGGGGCGGTGCCAAACCATTCAGAGCCTTAAAAATAAAAATCAATAGCTCAAAATGAATTCTAAAATGGGCTGGAAGCCAGTGAAGAGAGGCCAGTACCAGGGTTATATGGTCACATTTCCTAGTATGTGTTAAAAGACGAGCAGCAGCATTTTGGACCATTTGAAGATGAGTGAGAGACAACTGATTAACACCAAGGTATAATGTCTTACAATAGTCAGGTCTAGAGGTTATAAAAGCATGAACTGCAATTTCAAAATCATTAAAAGAAAGAAATTACTTGACTTTACTTAACAACCTCAGGTGAAAGAAGCTAGATTTTACGACTGAGTTGATCAAACTGAGTCATTGTCAAACATTACCCCTAGGTTTTTTACAGTAATCCTCAGATGATGAGCCAGAAGGCCCAAGTCGTGGTTAAAAGCAGCAAATTTCGACAGATTGCCAAATAAAACACATTCAGTTTTATCCTCATTTAATTTTAAAAAGTTCCGCGCCAGCCATGCTTTCAGGTCTGTCAAACAGTCATACAGTGGCTGTAGAGACATCCCTCCGGCTGCTTTTAATGGTAAATATATCTAGATTGCCCACTGTTCATATGCTGATACTGTTTATTTATCTTATCTTTGCACTATTTTACATCCATTGAACTGTTCACTCATGTAACTTATTGTTGTCTTCTTATTCTGCACTTTCATTCCATCTTATCCCATTGCACTAATGTTCCATAAACTTAATGTACCTTGTCCATTACTTATAATTTGAATCCACAGTCTGCTGTACATCGCACATTACCCTACACATCTTACTGTAAATATCAATTGTACATATCCATCGGTAAATGAGTTCTGACTGTACAGACTGTAGATACTGCGCACTCTGCACTGCTGTTATTGCATTTCTGGTTAGATGCTAAACTGCATTTCGTTGCCTTGTACTTGTACATGGGTAATGACAATAAAGTTGAATCTCATCTCATCTAATAACAATGAAAGGAGAAGCCATATTTCCTTAGAACTGATCCCAGAGGAAGCATGGACATGGAAAAGAGAGTTGGGCTGAGTACAGACCCTTAGGGGGACACCACAGGAGAGGATAGTTGAAGAGGAGGAAGAGTTACCAGTATTAACAGAAAAAACTTCTATTCGTGAGATAAGATCTAAACCAGTTAAGAACAGCACCTTGAATACCTACACACTGCTCCAAGCGAGATAAGAGGATTCCATGATCCACTGTATTAAAGGCAGCAGAGAGGTGTAAAAGCACCAACAGAACTAGATCCCCAGCATTCCTAGCCGACAAAATATCATTATTTAACTTTTAAATAGTTTTAATCTCAATTAATCACTGTTGAGACGCTGCAAAACACAAAGTACCAAATAAGTAATAAACTAATTTGATATTCAAGTCACAACGCAAACACGTGTTCACCGAGTAGTTTCTTCATAAGTGCCTCTTCTATATTGAATCATTAACTGGCAAATTAACAGCTGGCATTTTCTCAAGTCACATTATGTTAATTACTCTTCAACCCGAGGAATGGCCATAGCTCACTGCTACTTCGCTATAGGTACGGAATTTTAGCTGAGGTCAAATTCAGGTTCAAGAATGAAATCACTAGAAAGGTTATAGATTTGTTATAGAATTCCACATAGCATAGACTGCAATCTAAAAACTAAGAAGTTCTTGGCATTTTATGCTGCACAGCATCACTTGCCTAATATGATGACACCATTCAGTAGCTGAATCTCTGGGTTGTTAAAACAATGCAACAACAGAAATGCAACCACCACCACAAAATGGAGCAGAACGCCCTGTGGCCAAGTATCCGACTTCAAAGTATTTCTCTTTTAATTCAATTGGGATTGTCCCCCATTCACAAGAGAAACAATGGGACTGAAATGAAAGTGAGAGAAAGAGGGAGAGATTAAACTCAAGAAAGAGTAATAGAATTGAACAAGCTCACTTTACAGCTGTTGTTAACAAGAGGCTTTTCAGAGTCTGCCGTGCCAGTAACACAAGCCTTCTGGGAAACAAAGTTTTTGCCTGAGGATAATATTCCATAGGGCACAAATACTGAGACCTACGAACTGTAGCAATGTATAACAAACTGGGAGTCATGCCTGTCTCAACCTGCTGGCTGGAAAACAATTAATGAGACCATAGGGCTACTTAAAACTAGCCAAAATATTAACAATTTGTTTGTATTTCACCACCAAAAGTGTTCTGTTTTGTGTTTACTTGTTGATTGTGCTGGGTCATTTGAGGCAAGAGCATTCCTCTACTAATATTTCAGCATAAAAAATTTCACATTTAACAGTAAGGTATTAACTGTCATACTCCTATTGTCTAGCTCTGAATAAGATGCACATCTCTCAGTGAACTCCTGTTGTTAGGATTGGATTTCAGGAGTTACAGTTGTTTTATTTACTGTTAGTATTATTTTGCGTTTATAATGATAGAGTTTAGTATGACTGTCTGTGTTTCATTAACAGCACCATGTATCAGTATTAACCTGGCTCTTATACATGCATTATAGTTATAATATTCAGCTTCGAGTCAACTTGTAGTATTTTTCATCTTCTTGGAAAATTGTGCAAGAATAGATTGCATAGATAAGTGTCATTCTTGAAACTATAGATAAGATACTGTTAATTTATGCTATTTAACAGACGTAAAGTCTGACGGGCTTGAACTGGTCACTCATGTCTGAAGCATGAGTAAGGGTTTTTTTTTTTTACAAGAGAATCAGGGAAGTAAGTGACACAGCTAACTGCATGTCCACTTTCAGTTAGAGAGAAACGGAAAATAGAAGATAACAACAACACACACACACACACATACTGCCTATATGAACATTCTAGAATATTTACGTGTAACGTACCACCCATGTACAGGGCAGTCTCAGCCCGAGAAGATAAATGTGAATGATTTTTGATTATCGAGGCTCTTGGAGACTTGTCATCTCTCAGAGCCCAGCGCTGTAATAACTCTGCATTTAACCAGAAGAAAATAAATCTAC